TGCTCAGCCTGTAATCCTAGCACTTTGGGAGGCCGAGGTGAGTGGATTGCCTGAGTCCGCGGGTTCAAGACCCGCCTGGGCAACTTGGTGAGACCTCATCTCAACAATAAATCAAAAAATTAGCAGGGCGTGGTAGCGCGCACTTGTAGTTCTGGCTACTTGGAAGGCTGACGGTGGAAGGATCGCCGGAGCCCAGCAGGTCGGGATGCAGTGGCCAGGAGCGGCCACTGCACTCCAGTCTGGGTGACAGAGTGAGACTCTAATTAAAAAAAAAAAAAAAAGAAAGTATATCCTGTACATTGTTTCTAACATTCAGAAGGTGTTTGATAAATATGAATTCAAGGTTCTTGCATTCTGACTCCTAGCTCCTCAAACAGTAGTAGTGGCTAAGCCAGCCTCCTTTTGATTCCCACAGATTTTTAAGCGACAGTTCTGAGAGGACCAAGGGATAATCAAGGTGATGTCGTCCCCTAGACTCATTCCCCTGTGGAAAGATTTTAAATGCTCTGTAAATGACATCATACGTGAAAGCAAGGTAATGTATATGTAAGACACAAACATGTTATGGGGTAGCCTCTATCTATCTTACAGTAATGAGCATTTCAGAATAGCTACAAATTGTCCATGAGAGCAGGAAGCAAACAAGGTAGACCATAAAGACAACTGTCAGCCAGGCACAGTGTCTCCTGCCTATAACTACAATGCTTTGGGAGGCTGAGGCGGGAGGACTGTTTGAGGCCAGGAGCTCGAGACCAGCTTGGGCAACAAAGCAAGAACCCCATCTCTACAGAAAAAAAAAAAAAGAAAAAAAAAAAAAATATATATACACACATAAAATAATAGCCAGTGCACACCTATAATCCCAGCTACTCAGGAGGCTGAGGCAGGAGGATCACTTGAGCCCAGGAGTTCAAGGCTTCAGTGAGCATGATCGTACCACTTCACTCCAGTCTGGGTGACAGAGTGACCCTAACTCCAAAAAAAAAAAAAGAGACAATTGTCACCTTAGTAGGTCATCAATTTCATGAGTATATAGACAAGGATATTTTGATAGTGGGGTGTGAATACTTTGGAGCATTGTCAGATAAACTAATTTTCTGGAAAGAGATTTCTAAGGGAGAAGACAACCAGAGAGAATATTTGCCAACCTCACTTTTGCTATGGTTGGCACTGCATACAAGGATCCCAGGTGTGCATGTTTCATTATTGTGGAATAATATATATTGCATATGTGCTGGTCCTTTGCCAAATTTAAAGGTCAAATAGGGTTCCTAAGAGTCTTACTTACTGAGCTTTAAGCTTTAATAACTGAGAGTTGCACTGGATGCCCTGTTATATGTGTATATAAAGTGATGTACTTGCCTGGGTAATCTGTTAAATGTGTCTTTAATGATACAGGTACCTTTTAGACACAAGGAAGAATGTTAGAGGACAGGTGTGGCTAACTTCATGTTGAGAAGAACACCGCTTCCCCCTGTGTTCATACTATAACATTTGTCCATTTAGGTCTTGCAGAGTTTGACTCCCTCGTTTACTGGGGGATTTCTTACATGCTTGTGAAGTATAGCTGTTCCACAGGTGATAAGTTGTGCATGTGTGGGTGTAACAGGAGTAGTCCTTGGGGTGGGAGGTATGACTTCGGGAACTGCTCCAATTGTGACTTGTGTGAGAATATATTTAGTGTGCCCTGGCACCTTAGTTTATCCCTTGTCTCTCCCCAGAAATCTATAGATGACCCAAAGAATGACCTAGTTGTGCTGAGTGACCGGTGCCAGATACTATTCAAAGAGTCTCGCTGTCCTCAAAATATGCCGTTAATATGCCACTATTTCACTGATGCTTACTTCTTTGCTTCCCTCGCTTGGATGATACCAAACACAAGAGAAATACAGGTAAAACTTATTTTTCCTCCTCTCTTTAGCCCATTCTCCAAAGGCCACGCCCATATAGCTCTTAACCAAGATTGACAAATGAAGATATACTCCTTGAATGAATGTCACGTGGATCCAGGATTCCCCTACTTCATCCTTTCTCCAATTATAGTCTCCCTGTTGAGTAGACTTTATGGTTCCCCTAAAGTAGGCCATGGTTAGGGAACGGGTCCAAGTCTTCCTGCTGCTACCATATTTCCAACTCCCTTCACCAGGGGTAAGATCACTCTGGAGTCTTCCAAGTCCTCTTTAGCACAAAATGGGAAAGTAACTGAATATTCTGTCCCTTTCTCCTCTACTATCTTTTCTAGGCAATTTCTCTTATTCTCTTCCAGGCTGTAGTATGGATAAAAAGCAAAACTGAGGACATGGTTGAGAAGAAAACATTCTCCATGACTGAACGACTGCCGCCTATCCAGTCCATGGTCCACACAGGTTCCTTTCATATCCTTGTGGCCTATTGTGGCGACATGATCCTGCGGCTCTTTGGGGACCACTTTCGGGCATTCAAGCCCCTGAGTGTAGTACCCTGCCGCTTCAATGTCAGCTGCCTCTGCTATGACCCGGAAATGAAGATGCTCCTCTCTGGCACCCTGGGTGCGGTGGTCACATGGGTCATTGAGCGAAGTGGCAAGGGCCTCCAAATAGCCCATGTGGTTTCCATGCCTGGTGATGAACTTGTCCAGGACATCACGCTGAATGGCCCCAATGGCTCCCTCCTTGCCCTGTGTGAGACTGTGGTGAGAGTCCTTGTGCGCCGGGGCCAGGGCCAGCTGGGAGAGGCGAAGAAGTTCCTTTCCACCCGCAGCGGTTCCTCTATCACCTGCTGTTACACCTGTTTTGATCAGGGCTTTCTCTATGCTGGGAACAAAGCTGGAGAAATTCAAGTATGGAATCTCAATCAGGGGCAGCCCCTCCACAGTTTCAGGGCTCATTACTCAGTAGTTAGATGTATCCGCAGCCGGCCAGAGGCCCACACCCTGCTAACAGCTGGCAGTGATGGCCTAATCAAGGAGTGGAACCTTACTTCGGGGACCCTGCTTCGGCGTCTAGAACTTGGTGAGGAGCTGTACCGACTCCAGTTTATTGACAGCACTACCTTCTTCTGCCAAACTACCTATAGCTTTTCCTTGCGCCATATGCCCTGCATCTATAGCCTCTTCCATGTCTGTGGTTCTGCTCCCCAGCAGGTGCAACGCATCCGCTGTGGAGATCACTGGTTCCGGATCCTGTGCACTACAGAGGATGGCTTGCTGCGCTTTGTTTCTCCATTAACAGGGAATCTCCTGGTTATCACCTGGCCTTTCTCAATTCTGGACCAGGCTGTGGATTGGGCCTATGACCCAGGTAAAGAGGAGCTCTTTGTGGCCACAGGCAACTCAGAGGTGCTGGTATTTGATACAACCCGCTGCCCTTGCCCAGCCAAGTATCTCTTAGGCACCTCACCAGATACTCAGGACTTTGTACAATGCCTGGCTTATGGGCATTTCAACCTGGGGCGGGGTCTCGAAGGATTGGTGTTCTCTGGGCACCAGAGTGGTCTGATAAGAGTGCTTTCCCAGCACAGTTGTGCCCGAATAGAGAAATTAATGCACTTTGGGGCTGTCTTGGCACTCTCTACACTGACTGGAGGGCTTTTTGGTGCCCGAGAAAACTCTTTACTGTGTTCCTATGGAATGGATGATTATGTACACCTGTCAGAAGCTGTGCTTAAGGGGACCAAAGTACATCTGCAGCCCCTTGCCAGCATTCTCAGCAGCTGTCACCTTAAACACTTGATGCTCTTGCCCAAGTCTGTGGGTGCCATCACAGAGACCAACTGCCTGCGTCTCTGGAAGTTCCGTGATTTTCTGTCCTCTGGGTCACAGGATGGCTTGAAGTTCATGGAAACGTTGCCTCTGCACCAGTGTGCCATCACATCCTTTGATGTCTGTCTGTCCTTGAGTCTTTTAGTCACGGGTGCTGCTGATGGCTCTGTTCGGGTCTGGGACTTCCATGGTAGACTCATAGCTATGCTGGACTCATCATTGTACTTTGGCCCACTGTGCTTTGCAAATGACCGGGGTGACCTGCTTGTGACTTTTAACCAGAGTCTTTATCTGGTGTCTTGTTTAAAATTGCTTCCCCCGACCGTGCTGGCTCACTTTTCCATTGTGAGCATAACAGATGAAGTACTAGAAGTCCCCAAGCCTTTCATGCCAAGCTTCTTCTTCTCCTTTGAGACCATGTTTGTTCCCAAGTACGTCTACCTTGGTCAAGGGCAACAGGAATTAGTGGGTCTGGAAAGCCTTGTCAATAACCGGGCCATTGCCTTTGACCATTCTGTGCCACATGTCATAGAAGACGAGGAAGGGGACCCAGTGTTACTGAGTGCCTCCATGCGTGATACTTTACGGGAGGTGGAAACTGATGGGATGCGTATGAGCAAACCTCGCCATTCCCATTATGTGACTCCTCCCCAGCTAAAGCTGACTACCTGGGATGGACTCAATCCCTATCAGATATTGCAATACTACTTTGGTCTTGGGCGGGAATGGCTTTTTGCCCCCGACGGCTATATCCCCAACTCAGTGATTCGTGCCCGTCTGTGGCCAGAGGGCAGTCCAATATTCCTGCAGTGCAACCTGCACCCACCCCAGCGGGAACTGGAATGGGACAAGTCTCTACAATTTTTCTTCTGGAACAGAAGGGCCAGAGCTATAAGTGAGGTAGAATATTTACAGGAGAAGGAGGATAGAGACTTTATAGGAACGAGACTATCCAAGGATATAACCTATAGTATCCTCAAAGACGGTGCAAACCGCAGTTGGCTGGGAAGAAAAATGAGTGAACTAGCTATTAACAGCATGATTGAGACAATCCTCAACATTATGATCCATGCTACCCCACTGAAGTTCCAATGCTGTATTGGTGCACTAGGGCAAATCTTTGCTTCATATCAGGTGTCTCCAGCCCTGCGCTCTGAGACCGCCCATCGTCTGCTGGATGAAACAACCAATTCCAACCCACTGATCCGAGAACTAGCCTGGGAAGGGCTGAAACGTCTAGGATTTATTACTCATCTTTTTGCCATCCCTCTGGCCCAAGGATTAATGGACAAGGACGAAAGAGTGAGGAATAAGGCCCTAAACCTTATGGCAGACATTGGAATACACTCTAGGACCTTACTCTCACAATTGATCCAGAAACAAGATATTTTCCGAGAGATGCAGTAAGTTGTACCTTCTTGAATTGTTTACCAGCTTCTGATTTTCTTCTCCCGATTCCCCACTTTCCTCTTCTCTTCCTTTGCTATCTCTTCAGCCCTGTTCATTAGCTGTTCCTGACTTTCTTTTATAAACTTTTTCCATCCCTAGATGACTGTCCTTGACAGTCTGCTGACTGTTCACTCTTTTCTCCACTTCTTTTCCTGTTCTTTTCTGTTCCCTACCTATTCAAGTCTCACTTTTCATTCTTTTCTCCTACCCCAGAATTCCCCATATAGATCATTCAATTCGTTGCCATCTTGACTTCCTAGACTTCTTATTTCTTCTTGGCTATCACTTACTTCTAATATGCTGTCTTTCTTGGCCCCTCTGTCAAGCCCCCTACCTGTTCCACAGCAGTTCTTTCCCATCTGTTTTCCCTTTTGTCCCTGATTCATCACAGTCCTTCTTCTTTGACTTTCATAGGCAGGAGATGATTGGGGAGGAATCCCTGGACCATCTGCTGGGCATGCGGCCCACAGATCTCCAAATCCTTAACTCTCAAGTAGAGCAGCGATTGAATGAAGACCTGACCTTGTCACATAGAGATGAAAAGCCTTATTTTTCTTTAGATGTTTCCAGGGCTTCTGAACTTAAGCCCTTTTTCATGCAAGATTCCACAGTTTATGAAGACTATGAAGTGACCTTCAAGCCCAGCAAAGGCCAAAGACGGGGCCGAGCAGGGCCCAAAAAGCACAGTATGTAAAGGGTGATCTGGTCCAAGCCTTAGTTTCCTAAGAGGCAGGATAGTTAGGGTTAAAGTGAGTCAAGAGACACCAGGTGGGAAGAGAGAGAAGTGGAAACATCTTTGTCATAGAAAAGAACTCTCCTAGGAAGGACCCATTTAAACTCAGGATGATTCCAAGGCCTGTCTCTCAAGGATTTGGAGCAGGGAGCTGGGAATAAAGCAAGGAGAATTTTTTTTTTTTTAAAGGCCTTAGCCCTCTCTGTTGTTACTTCTATTATGGTGTTCCTCTTAGCTCACACCAGATATTGGGAAGGGTTTCATTTAGCTTTCTATATTTCCTTATCTCCATCTCCTGATTTTCCCTACAGCCCGAAAATGGTTGCGGGCTCTCAAGAAGATCAAAGAGGCTAAACAGACTGGCATAGAACCGGTTCCCTTAGAGGATGAAAGTGATCAGAGTGAAGCTGTACCAATTGAGATGGAAGAAACATTCATCCATTCCAAAAAGTCTTCAGTCTCCAGTATAATACAGGTCTCAAAAGATGCTGAACCTTTAGAAGAAGATGTCTCAAAGGAGACCATTGCACTGACCTTGAAGATGCTGAGGAAGATACGTGACAAAAGAGGTAAGAAAGCAACAACTCAGAAACCCAAAAAGAGGCGCAAGAAGAAGAGAGAAGCCAAAGTTATAATCGAGGAACCTCTGCCTCCTAAAAAACCCCAGCCGATTATTATGAAAAGGGTTAAAGCTGAAGGGCGGGGTGCCTCTGGAATGGCTGGACACAGAACTACCCCTGGAGATGGCTCATCATGGAGGAATGATCTCTGTCGTCTTATGACCCTGAGGATATCTGGTTCCCAAACACAAATGTCAGAAGATGTGAACACTGAGCTAGTGACTATAGCTCAGGAGATGCTGGCAGATCGGCACCCCAGCTGGGAACTCTTTCAGGAGATCTGCCCCCTGTTTAAGAAAGAAAGCGAGGTTCTTCTTGAGGACCTTGACTGGGAGGTAGCCTGGCCAGAGGAGAAACCAATTCTTATCTATGAAGAAGCAATGAGAGAGGACAAGGGGGTTAGAGACGAGGAAGAGGGCCAAGAACGAAAGGAATCAAGAGGCATGCAGGACTTTGAGGAAACTCAAGTGATTTCAAAAAAAGGCAAGAAAAGGAAAGTTATTTTTCTAGAACCAGGTGACCTAATCAAAGGAAAACAAGTATCCAAGAAAGAAGAGAAGAAATCCATGAAGAAGTCATCTAAGCAAGAGAAGAGAGCAGGCCAGGAGGATAGAAAAGTGGATAAAAAAGAGAAGACCAAAGAAGAGAAAGAGATGAGGGAGAAAGTGAAGGAAGTGGCCAAACCAGGGGGAGAAGTGGTTGAGCAAGAAGGAAGACCAGTTATGGCTGAGAGAAAGCTGTCTTGGCAAGAGTGGAAAACGTCCTGGGATGAGTGGAACCAGGTCCAAGAGAAGATATCCTGGGACAAATGGAAACAAGCTTGGGATAGGAGACGTCTTCAGGGAGCGAAAAAACTCTACCAGACTGAAGAGAAGCAACGCCCAGATGACAAAACGTTGGAGGGGGACAAGAGGAAGCTGACATGGGATGAGTGGAAACAGGTCTGGGAAAATATGCTGTCATCCATTTCCAAGGAGGAACGGTCCAAGGATGAGGAAGCATTGTCTTTGGAGGAAGAAGTGTCTTATGAGCGGGAAAAAGAAGGAGAAGGAGAAGGAGAAGAAGAAGAAGAGGAAGAGGAAGAAGAAGAGGAAGAGGAAGAAGAAGAGGAAGAGGAAGAAGAAGAGGAGCAGCTTGTCACAGAAGAGCAGGGACAGATGATTCAGGAAGAACACAAACAGGCCAGAAGACAGAGAAAACAAGTCCAAGCTAAAAGAAAACAAGCCAAAGAAGAGGGGAAATTAGCAGCAGAAGAAGAGAAGCTTGCACAAATAGAAAGACAACTGGCCGAGGAAGAGATAAAACTGGCCCATGAATATGTGAAAATATCCCAGGAAGATGGGAAAATGGCCCAGGTAGAGACAAAGTTTGCCCACAAGGAGGAAAAACTGGCCCAAAGAGAGAAGAAGCTAAGCCAAGAAGCAGAGAAATTGGCCCAGACAAGGAAGAAACTGGCCAAGAAATTGGAGAAAGTGACTAGAGAAGAAGAGAAACTAGCAAAGAAAAGAGGGAAACTGGCTGAGGTAAAAATCATATTGATCTCAAAAGTGAAAAAACTGGCCCAGAAGGAGCAAAATCTGGACAGGCAAGAGAAGGAGCTGGCCCAGGAATTGGAGGGGCTGGAAGGGGACATGGAGAAACTGGCTTGGAAAGAAGAGGAACTAAATCAGAAAGAGAAGAAACTGACTGAGGAAAAGGAAGGACTGGCTCAGGAAGAGAAGACACTGGTCTGGCAAGGTGAGAAACTGGCTGAGGAAGAGAAAAAACTGGTCCAGGAAGAAGAACTGCTGAACCAGGAAGCAGAGAAACTGGCCAAAGCCAGAGAAAAAATGCCTGAGGAAGAGGAAAGGCTAGCCCGAAAAAGGGAGCAATTGATGAAGAACAAGGAGAAATTGGCCCAGAAAAGGGAAAAATGGGTCCAGGACAATGAACAACTCACAAAGAGCAAGAAGATACTGGCCCAGAAGGAGAATAATCTGGCTCAGGAAAGGAAGACTCTGGCTCAGGAGAAGGAAAAACTGGCTCAGAGGAAAGAGAGCCTCCTCTATAGAAAAGAAGCACTCATCCATAGCAGACAGCAGTTAGTGCAAGTAAAGAAGACATTGAAGATGTACAAGCAGAAGCTGGTTCAGACAGAGAAGCAGCTGACACAGGAAAAGGAGGCAGTGATTCAGAAGAAGGAGAAACTGGTTGATGCAGACAAAAAAACGGCCCAAATAGAGAAAAGTCTGGCTGAGAAACAGGAGACATTAGCTCAGGAAAAAATGAAATTAGCTATGGAGAAGAAGGCAATGTTCCAAGAAAGGAAACTGCTCAGAGGAGAGTTGGATATTGCTAAGAAAGAAAAGGCACTGAACCTGGAAATGAAGAAATTGGTCCAAGAGAAGATGAGACTGGTTGAGGGAAAGGAAACTTTCTCCAAGGGAGAGACTCAAGAAGCTTCAAGACAGGAAAAGCTGACGGAGGCAGAAAGAGAATTAACTGAGAGGAAATTGTCACTAGAGGAAAATATATTGATACATGAAGATAGGATCCTGGCTTCAGAAAGAAAGGACATTGCCAAGGAAACATTGGAATTTACTAGAGGACAGAGATTATATATCCAGGAAGAAAGGAAGTTAGCTAAGGCAATACAAAAGTTGGCTAAAAAAATGGGGGACACTTCCAAGGAGCCAACAAAAGTAAACAGAACCTTAAAGTTACTTCAAAAACTCATCAGTGATGAAAGGAGATTAACTGAGGCAAAATTAATTATGACAAAGATAAGGAGAGCACTCTTTGTTAAGGAAAGAAGACTGAGCCAGGAACAGAATAAACTTGATATCAGAGAGTGGGATTTGTCTGAGGAACAATCAGAAATGGCCAAAGAGGAGAAGAAATTAGCTCATAAGGAGAGAAAACTGGCCAAAGCAATGAGAAAAATGATCAGCAAAGAGGAAAAAGTGACCGAGGAAGACAGCAGATTAGCCAGGGAACAAAGAGAAGTCATACAGGTTGAAGAAGAGGAAAGAGTAACAGAAGAAGAAGAAGAAGAAGAAGAAGAAAAGGGAATCCCCTTCCTTAAACGAAGGTGGAGAAAGAGAAAAGAGGCAAAGAAAGATGATACATCAAAGGAAAAGTTTTCCAGGCAAGTGGCGGAGGTGGAAAGTGAAGAGCGCCTTTCTGAAGAAATGGAAAGTCTGTTAGATGAACTAGAGCAAGAGAGTTCGTCTGAGGAGGAAGAAGAGGAGGAGGAGGAAAAGGAGGAGGAGGAAGAGGAGGAAGAAGAGGAGGAGAAGGAAGAAGAAGGGGAGGAGGAGAAGGAAGAAGAAGGGGAGGAGGAGAAGGAAGAGGAGGAGGAGGAGGAGGAGAAGAAAACGAAAAAGAAAGTGCAGGAAGAGGAAGTGTTTGAGGAGGAGGAAGAAATGAGTGAGGAGGAGAGAGAAAGTTTGAGTGAGATGGAAGAGGAAGAGGAAAGAAGCTCCCTGGAAGAAGAGGTGGACAAGGAAAAAGAGATCTTAGAAAGAGAAAAACCCTTTAAGACACAAGAACAGAGGAGAAAGGAGCTAAGACAAAGGGAAAGAGTACTTTCTATCGGAAAAGAAGTCCTTCACATCAGAGGCAGGCCTATAAAATCGACAGTTCTAAAAACCCCTTTGAGTAAACTGATCTCAGTAGCTCTAGAGATGGAAAAGGAGACATCAGTGCCAGAGTTGACAAAAGAAATATCCTGGGAAGACAGCAAGGCCACAGTACTCAAGACATCCAGGAAATTCTCAGGGACAAGGTTTATCGATAAAGAAAGAGAACTGTTGGAGAAATATAAGTCCATACCTCTGCATGTTTTGGATACAGTTTTGGAGTCCCAAGAACAAGACTTCAAGTACCCATTCACGTCCCACATATTTAAGAAGACCATGGAAGCTCGGAAACTCCAACACAAACCACCAGTTACTCAGTGGAAGTGGTTTTTGCAGCAGCATCCATCTCTGAGGAAAGAGCCTGAGGTACAATTCCCTCCCTCTCAAAGACTGGCTGAGGAACAATATCCACATGTAAGCCTCTCAGATGAAGATTGGATCAATTATGCCCTAGAACAGATGGAAGCAGGAGAACAGCTTTCTAGGGATAGTTTCCACAGGTTGTGCCACCTCCTCAAAGACCTCACCTCAAAGGGAAACTTAGACTGGTTGCATCTGGCCACACTTGAAGCCATTGTGTACCGTCACAGGCAGGTCCTGGACTCACAACACACAAGGATCTCAGAACCCAGTAAGGAGTCCGTGAGTCCAAAACACCTGAAAGTGATTCCTCCTATAAAAACAAAGGAAAGAGAGGACTGGCTAAAACCTTTGGCTGTCCCCACACCGAAGTCCTCATTAGCTACCAAGAGGATTCTAGACCTAAAGGCTATCAATTGGCATCTTCTAGGAGAGCCTTACAGAAGTGAGCGGGCCCAGCAGATATCCACTACTCGCAAAGAGATGGCTATGCAACATTTTTACCCTGCCGCGAGAGACATTTTCCCAGATGCTCATGCCTCTGTGGAAAAACAAACCCTGGCACTGATGTTTCAAAAGGACTTCTGGGGCAGGTTTCCTAAATTGCCAAAGTTGGAGAAGAAGACACAGACCGCCTCTAAAACAAAGGAACAGGTGCCTTTATGGGAGACATTTGTGGCACTGTACTATGTTTTGCGGATGCTGCAGCAGCGATATGGAAAAGACAGTGCTGCTTGGATGGAACAGTTCTACCAGCTCATGGACCTGTACCAACTGAAGTCTCCCCAAATCCAGAAGCTGCTTCAGGAGCTGCTAATGAGAGAGGAACCGCAATCTCAAGAGATCATCTACAAAGAGGCCCTAAAGGCCACGGAGCTAGTTCCTGGGGAGCGGTTGTTCTACTGCCTGTTTTGTGGTGGCTCTCATAGTCCTGGAAGCCCTCAGCAATTCCAGAATGTGGTACCCCTCCCTGGGCAAAACAACGTGCACACTCTGCTTCCCCTGGGCATTGCCCAGTATGGGATCTTAGAACTGGCTTGGAAGAGTCTGCCCCAAGCTGACATTCATCTCACCAAAGAATTGTCCCACGTTGTTGCTCCCACTCCCTAAATTGGGACTGACTGGTGGTCGGGATTTCTCATTCCCAATTGGAGAAAGGCCTGGTTATCAGAACCTAGACTTTCATCTCTAGGGCCCACACAGAGGAAGGGCTGGATCAAAGCCCTTTCCCTTCTCAGCTCTGGAAACCAGCTTCCACATGTGAAATAAAGAGGAGGTCCTTGTTTGCAACAAGCACTTTGATGAGTCCCTTTTCCCCAAACTTTGGTTCTCCAGGAAAATAGTTAGGGAAGCTAGATACATACTTCCAAGGTGGAAAAACTTCCCCCAAACTGGCAGTGCTTACCACGTGGAACCATTGAGGCAGAAGAGTCTGTCCTTGTACTCTTCCTTCCTTCTTCCCATCACCCTCCCCCAAAAACTATAGGAAGGAAAGTGCATGGCAGAAAACTAATGTATGTTTGACATTAATGTAAGAGATATGACATATTGGAAAGACAACGGGTTTTAGAATCAGAAGACTCAGCATTTTGCTCCTTAGTATTTGGGGGCCTGGAGTGAGGCTAACACTATTTCTCTGATTTTAACTCTGCATGCAGAGGGCTTGAGTCTCAGACAGCAGGCATAGTGAGTGTTGAGGAAATCCTCGGAATAAAGAAAAAATTCTCAGCCGGGCCCAGTGGCTCAGCCTGTAATCCCGTGCCTTTGGGAGGCCGAGGTGAGTGGATTGCCTGAGCCCATGGGTTCGAGACCCGCCTGGGCAACTTGGTGA